GTTATACCTTACTACTGTTACTACAACTACCACTGCAGTTCGTATTTCCACGACTACTACGTTTATTATTATTGCTTCCGTTACTAGTGTTACTAGTTCTAGCACTGCTACTCGTACTATTTCTATGATTCGTATTACGACGACAACGGCTATTATTGCTACGACGAGTGCGACTATTATTCCTACTACTACTACTGTTACTATTACTACTACTATTAAATTAGGCATAGGAGACAGAGCAAGAGGCAGAGAGGTATATATTGTAGAGAGTAGAGCTTCAAGAAGCCAAGCAAGCATAGAGCAGAGAGCACAGAGCCTCGAGGGTAAGAAAGAGAAGAGTTTTTTTCAGAGAGTCTAATCAGAGGAGAGAGAGATTAAGAGACAGAGAGAGTAGCAAGAGGACTGAGTAATATAGTTACTAATACTACTGTTACTGCTGCTTACTACTACTACTACTACTACTACTACTACTCCTAGTACTCCTACTACTCCTACCACCACTACGACTACTACTACTATTTTCTCCCCATGAACTATTGCATATTCGCGCACTACTACTACTATGACTACTTCTAGTACTACTACCACCACGAAAATGATTATTACTACTACTACCACTACGACGACTAATGTTACTACTATTACGGCGACTACGACTACTATTGCTACTACTACTACTACTACTACTACTACTACTTCTACTACTACTACTACTACTACTACTACTACTTTTACTACTACTACTACTACTACTACTACTACTACTACTACCACGACTACTGCTACTACTAGTGCTACTACCACTATTACTACGAGTACGATTGCTACTACTACTACTACTACCACTACTACTACTACTACTACTACTACTACTACTACTACTACTACTATGGCCACTACAACTATTACAACTACTGGTGCGACGACGTCGACGACGACGACTACGACTACGTCTACCACCACTACTACGGCGATTAGTACCATTACTGTTATTACTACTACGACTACTACTACTACTACTACTACTACTACTATTACGACTACTACTACTACTACTACTACTACTACCACTACTACTACTACTATCAGTACTGCTACTACTACTGCTACTTCTACTACTACTACTACTGACACTACTACTACTACTACTACTACTACTACTGCTGCTGCTACTACTACTGCTACCACCCTTACTACTACCACGGCTACGACTACTACTACTACTACTACTACTACTACTACTACGACTACTGCCACTGCTATTGCTACTACTACCACTTCTTTTACTACTACTACTACTACTACTACTACTACTACTACTACGACTACTAATGCTACTACTACTATTACTACTACTACTACTACTACTACTACTACTACTACTACTGCTACTACTCCTGCTATATGATACGCCTGCTGTCAGTACTACTACTACTAGTACTGCTACTTCTACTACGATACTACTACCGCTACTAGTAATGCTACTCTCACTACTGCCACCATCACCACCACCACCACTACTACTACTACTACAACTACCACTACTACTACTTCCACTACTACTACTACTACTACTACTACTACTACTACTACTACTACTACTCCTGCTACTACTACTGCTACTACTACGACTACTACTGGTACTGCTACTAGTACGGTCAGTAGTATTACCCTTACAACTATCACTACCTTTACTACTTCTGGTACTACGGTTACGACTACGACTACGAGTATTACAAGGACTACTACACGTACTACTACTACTACCACTACGACGTCGACGACGTACTACTACTACTACTACTACTACTACTACTGCTACTGCTACTACTACTACTACGCACTACTACTACTACTACTACTACTACTACTACTACTACTACTACTATTACCACTATTACTACTACTATTACCACTACTATTACTACTACTACTACTTCTACTACTACCACTACTACTACTACTACTACTACTACTGATGCTACCACTACCCGTATTACTACTACTACTAATATATGATGCGCCTACTGTCATTATTGCTACCACGACTACGCCTACTGCTACTAGTAATGCTGCGGTCACTACTACTTCCACCACCACCACCACTACCACTACTAGTACTACTACTACTGCTACTACTACTACTACTACGACTACTACTACTACTGCTACTACTACTACTACTATTTGTACGGCCAGTAGTACTACTATTACTACTACCACTACTTTTGCTACTTCTGGTACTACGACTACGACTACGACTACGAGTACTACAAAAACTACGACACCTATTATCACTAGAGCTAGTACTACTAGTACTACTAGTACTACCAGTACTAGTACTAGTACTAGTACCACTACTACGACTACTACGGCTACTACTACTACTACTACTACTACTACTACTACTACTACTACTACTACGACTACGACTACGACGACTACTACTAAGACTACTACTACTACGACTACTACTACTACTACTACTACTACTACTACT